AAAAGCCAACAATCTAGCGTGTATAAACACATTCCTTACCAATTATCTCTAGGTTCTTTTCTTTCCGTCGTCATTGCTAGTTTCTTATTGGTTATACTTAGAGATGGCAGTTTAGGTTATAATACGATAACACTACTCGAAACTTACACAATTTTAGCGTGTTTGAGTTTACCATAAATGAGTTTGGATCATAGTCGGATTAATATGATTAATAAACGAGTTAGGTTAGGATTGACCTTCTAACACGAAGTGACCCAAATCAACACAATTAACTATATATGTCATTTGTAAATTAATTATATATGATATAATATAAAAGTTCAAATGATGTTTTAAATATATATAGTATGTATTTCAAAAGTTTTTGATAAATTTTTCTCGTTTATCTTAAAAGAAAAGATAAACTGACTAACAAAATTGTTAAATGTGTCATGATCGTGTTAAATAAATCCTAATTGTATCAATTATTTATTTAATATATTAATTTAAATGGGTTACGCAGGTTGACACGATTAATAAATGAGTCGTGTTTAAGTTGTCATTTTTGACACGTTGTTTAATAAATGAGTCGTATTTGAGTTGATATTTTCTGATACAATTAATAAACTGGTTGAACACAAATATAATTTATTAACACGAATAGTCACCCCTGCCTAATTATACCATTAGGCAATGGCAGATTTGTAATTAAATTATAGAAGAATGGTTTATAATTAAGCTTTACTTTTGTGGAGAAGTGTAAAGCCACATGGCACAAAAAGGCCCAAAAAAAAAAGGAACAATTCATATAACCACTTGACACTTTACTTTAAGTAAATAACATTTTCACACAGACACTACGGTCTTATTTGTTTTGTGAATTTGAGTTTTTAATTCGAGTTGAAATGTGATATTTTCTTAGAGCTTTTAACTGTAGTAGAAAAATTTAGATGTAATATTTTTTGAAAGCTTTTAACTGTAGAAACCTAAAACTAAAAACTCGATCAGTGAAATGAACGAGGTCTGTATTTTAAATTTTATAAGCAGTTTTTCAAAAAAATAAACACGGGATATTTTTAAAATGAGAGTTTCTCTGGTAGTCTGTCCTATCTTAATCTCAGTTTTTAACCGGTAGATATGGTTAAAATCACATCAGATTAAAAAATATATGCAGAACAGATAAATTTTAATATAAATTTGTCAGTTGAAAAGTAAAAGACTATCAGTAGTCTATTTTTGCAGGAACTATTAGAGAAAATCCCTTAAAAAGAAGAAAAGTAAAAACAAAACACATGAATGATGTAGCCCCCGTTTGTTTCACTGGTTTAGCTCAGTTTAATTTAATTTGAACAGTGAGCACAATTTGACCTGATATTTGATAAACATGTAGTTTGAATTATATTTCATGTTTGAATTGAGTTAAACTGTCTAATTTAAAGTTTAACTCCCCCTCAAGTTCAACTGTTCAAACTATTTTTAAACAGTAAAAAGGTCCTCACTCTCTTTGTTTTTTACACCTATCAAATACAAATTTAAATTTTATTTCATGTTTAAATTAAAATTTAAACTGCACATCTAAACGTTAATTTAAAAATACAATTTAAATTTTTCTGTTCAAATTAAAAAATTTAAATTAATAAAATTTAAACTAACAATTGCATAATTTTCTTGTAATCCAATTTGGAAAACAATTAAAAAAGTAGTTGGGGGGTGGGCAATATTCGGTTCTTTGCGATTCGTCCAGCTGATCCTTTTTAGTGGGCCCCAGGACCCGCGAACTTCAACAGCCGTTTATCCCTAATCGCCGTAAAGGCCTGGCATGGACGTCGTGTCGTACTCCGATTGGGCCAAAGAGCCACCCTTTTGGGATGACATTGTGGGCAAGGCTAACTTCTCAACACTCTTCACTCACACACTTGGACACGTCACCCCTCGGAGATGGTGCATGGATAACGCCGTGGGCCCCACTTACTGGCCACGTGTTCTCATCCATGCTGGAAAAGTTCACGTTCATAAATGTACACGTCAGATCCAAACCCGAGTTTCAGATCGGAGAAAACAAAACACAAAAAGTGAAAGAAAGAAGAAGATAATAAAAAGGAAAATTAAGCAGAGAAAGAAAAGTTCAGGCAGAAAGTCAGACCAGTTGAAGTCGGATTTTCCCAGGAAAATTTTTCTTGGCAGGACAGAAGTACAGAACAGAGCTGACCCCGCTTTTTTCTCGTTTGGTTTTCTTGGTAAACAGATACGGCTGAGTTTTTTTTATTCTTATGTGAAGGTCAGTTTTTATTTGGAATTATTTTGAGCTAATCCGTGAGGTAAGTTAGGATATCATCTTCGTTTGGGATTGTCCTAGTGCTTGTTCAGATTGGATCGTCTTTTTTTTTTTTTTAGTTGCTTGGTTGTGGCTGGTAATTTGGTGTTAATTAGGAAAATATTTATATCCAAATCGGTTCATTTTTTGGTTTATTTATTCGTTTATCTATTTTAACGTAGTTAGAGGATTATTGATGAAATTGCTAGGTTGCGTTGACCATTAGATTTTGGTGTCTTTAAAATGTTCAAATTAGTACCAAGAAGTTGCTAAAACTTTGTCTAGATTAAAAAAGAATACATATTTAGGTGCCTAAAGGAAAGGTTAAGACCTTTTTTTTCACCTGATCTTTCATTTATGAGATGGGAACTATGATGTTTTTTTTGTTGTTGCCATTATTCTCAAAAGCATTCTTGTTTTGAAACAAGTATGAAAAATTATTTTCCTGCTAGGTGCATTTTTATGTTGGGATAACTACAATTTTCTGTACTTGGATTATTGCTTATAGAAACTTCAGTTATGTGCTACTTCCATTTCCTCCAAATTTAAGTATATTTGCTTAATTAACACATAAAATCTGTTGAACTGAAAATCAGGAACTTACATCTGATGGTATTTTGGACCACTCTAGAAATTCGAAGTTCTTGCTAGAAAATGGAGAAAATATGCGAATTCTGCACAACATTGAGGCCAGTTATTTACTGCAAGGCCGACACAGCACATCTGTGCCTCTCGTGCGACGCGAAAGTCCATTCAGCAAACACGCTCTCCAGCAGACATCTCCGCAGCGTCTTATGCGATTCGTGCAGGTTCCGGCCAGCCAATCTCCAGTGTTTGGATCACCAGATGTTCATGTGTCGTGCCTGCGATCGCAGCCTTCATGATGTCTCAACTCGGCATCAGAAGCGGGCAATCAGAAGTTTCATGGGATGCCCTTCTTCCAAGGACTTTGCCGCTTTGTGGGGCTTAAAATTAAGTGATCTAGAAAGCCTTGTCACTCAGCATGATCAGTTTGTGTCCTCTTCTTGTGCTACCGGTGACTCCACTGTGGTGAATTTGGATACCACAGGACATTCTAGCTCACAAATTGGAGGCCAAGTTAAGGTTGGAAAATCCAGTTGGCTTTTGGTTCACAAGTTTGAATAGAAATTCAAAATTTTTGTACGAGAAAACACTGTAATAAAAAAGTTTAATCGTGGTTCAAACCTATAAAACAAATGGCATCCAAATGATTTCAAAGTCTTTTGTGTTTTTAATACGGTTAAATTTTAACTAACAATTTTATTAGTATTTTCCTTTCTTCCAATTTGATGTTTTAAATTTGGACCACAATAAGTTAACAAGTTAATGTGTCATCTTGAAATGTCTTGGTCTTGCAGTTGTTGCAAAAGAATCAACAGCAGAGAAGCAGTTGCTTTATTTTGCAACAAATTATAGACTTGAAAAAGCTTCAGCTCAATGGAGGGAGTACTAATCCTTCACCTTTAATACATTGCCAAGAAGAGCAGAACGATGTGTCTTCTTCAATGAGACATTATGCCAAGAAAATCAATGAAAATCTTGATAACCCTTTACAAAATTCCCATGATCTCGGAACCGATCTTCAGCAGAGAGACGACACTCCAATTGACCAAGAGCTGAAATGCGACGACGACCTTTTTCCATTCCCATTTTCGCCCGCACCCTCCTCAAGTGTTGGGCTTCCCTTGCATGGAGAACCCTTGTGGCAGTGTAGAAGTCCAGTTCAAAGTAGTCAGGTTTGGTCAATATCATTGCTTCTCATTAGTAAATGTTTGCTATTTATATTGTCTTAAAACAAAATCCGTGTAAAATAAAGCTCTGCTATTTATAGCTGAATTCAGCAGTTAGAAAATTAATTTTCCGCATTTGGAGTACATTTCCAGTACATAGGTGGGGAAAAAACTTTGCATTGTTCTTCTCCCTTAATATGATTTGTTTTCTCACTCTGTTTGGTACGAGGGAAAGAAAATAAGAACGAAAGAAAGTAGTATAACCGACTATCGGATATTTGAGCTTCATTATGTCATGTCATCGGAATATAATAACAGAGTTTAATATTCAGTTATATAACTCAGGGGAAAGCTTTTTAGCTTTAATATGTTTGGATAGTAAAAAGAAATTGAGAAAACAATAATACTATTCCAATCTCAAATACCTAATAGTTAAGAGTAGTGATAGGGGTTCCAACTTTTATTCTATCTTTTTATATTAGATGCAACTTTTTGATATTAATTGATGTGAAATTTTTAAACACTTACCAATAAAAAGTGACAACTTACATACCACGTCGGTTTTTATAAAAAATTGAAATAAAAGTTAGGATTGTAGCATTATTCAATAGAAGGTAATGGTTACTAATCCACTTCAGTCTAATGAACTGCTAAATCATATGACCCAGTAGAACATAATTGTAAAAAATGTCAGAATGAAATTTCTTTTAGCTTTACCTGCATTTTGGTGATCTTAATCTTCTTCTACTACCATTTCTGTTTCAAACTTTTCTGACAACACTTGAGAGTTTTATTTTCCTCTTACCAAAAGTCAACTAACGGTTTTCTTAGTTTAAAACAAATTAAAGTCAAATTAAAAAATCTGTTGCTGTCGATCAATTTTGCAGTTATGGTCTCAAAACATGCAAGATCTTGGTGTCTGCGAAGAACTCATTTGTCAGGATGATTTCAACATTCCCGATGTGGATTTGACGTTCCGAAACTTTGAAGAACTTTTCGGCGGTGACCAAGATCCGATGAGATCCCTCCTTGACGATAATAAGGACATGTCATACTCCTCCATGGATAAAGATTTGTCTCTAGAAAAATTAGATAATACTCAGTCAAGAGCTATGGAGGTATCCGAATCTCAGTTTCATTCTCTTCATTTTTTTAGCCTTAGGTTCCATTTCAGTGTTCATCGCAAAATAATTTGAATTCTCTTTTAGGACGCTTCTATGGCTTCCACGGTATCCCACATGGACAGAGACGTGAGCAGTTCTAAAGCTCATGATCATGGCACTAATCCGCCCGGGATAATTAGGATGTCCTGTTCGAGTATGTCGCTGTCCGTTTCAAAGTTTAGTGCCGATAGTGGAGGTGGCGGCGCCGATTCTCTGGACAGTGGAATTTCGCGTTACATTACCGGAGAAGCTTCGATCGGTTCGCGTGATTTGGAGGGTTTGCATTTGGATTCTGAAGCAAGAGAGAGTGCTAAGTTGAGGTACAAAGAGAAGAAGAAGACTAGACTGTAAGTACTCATTTTCTTTCTTTTGAAATTGGCTCTTATCTCTTAATCATTGCACATTAAACCTTCGTCTTTATATCTTATAGTAATTAAGGTATAAAATACAGTTAAGTGAATGTTTTTTAAAACCCTTTAATCTTTAAAGTTTACCCTTTTTTCATTTGAACTCTTGACCTAACATTGGAGGCGAGATTGTATATTTACGCTAGGTTATACTTGCATGTTATTTAACTTTGACATACATCTTACATGATTTGGCGTTCTAAAATAAATACCACTAGTATTCAGTAGGTATTTTTATGACAGAATGATCTCACTGCAATATGTATTTAATATTGTATAACATATCTGAAAAAAGTAAAGTTGGATTTGGTTTTTCTCGAAATGAGATAATGACTTCCAAAATTTTTGATCAAGTTTTTGTTTCGTGCTCGTTGATTGCCTTGTAATTTAATCAAATAATTCATGGCCTTTAACTACTACTTATGATTCCGTTATGGCTGTGAATTGTGATCCACCGAAAAAATAGAGTGTAATTCAAGGCTTGAACTTATTATTTTCTATTTAAGTGTGGTTTTTTTTTTCAAACAATTGTCACGTGTCTCTATCTCTTAGTTCTACCCACAAAAGAGAAAAAAAAAAAAAAAAAAAAAAAAAAAAAAAAAAAAAAAAAGAAACTCAAGCTCTTAGGTCTCGTTGAAATGCCATAAAATGCATGTTAGTACGTTAGTAAATTTGATTCAACTTGTCACATTCCGTACTTAAGATTAAAAAAAATGAAATCTAGAGATAGCAATTAGCATGAAAAGCTAATAAAGTCGCATCAAAGTCAGCAACAAATCATCCTCAAGCGACGTGGATGTGGCGAGTTAATCGGAAACAAGTGTTTCTCTAGGTGCTTTATAATTATTTCTCTAGGTGGACTATACGTAACCTTAAGATACCCTTATAATCCACAGTTTTGGATGTCATAATTAATTTTTGGAGGTTGAACTCCATTATGGATATATATCATTATTACCCGTCAGTTTTGATGCTTTCTTTTGTTTATTTCGGTTATCCTTAATATATATACACGAGCACACAAATGACATTACATATTTATAGACTTTTTTCCTTAATCTGTGGGTGAGGACTATAATTATACTGTAGCATATAAAAGTGCAAAATAGAATATGAAATTTTAAATTTATTCAACGTTAATAATAGTCTGAGATTACTAAACTATTGGTCTATATCATGCCATTCTAAGTCAACTTACGTTTAATTATAAATGTGATATTTTGCTTCTCGTTTCTATATATTGTGGAGAAGTATGGTCCTCCCAAAAAAATAAAATCATAGACAAAACCTATATTTACATATAATTTTAGAGGAGTTTATTTATATATTATAACATTTTAATTGAAAGTCTAGTGATATATAACTATATATTAAGGATAATAGTTTTATTGTACTGTACTAATGATAATGAGGTAAATTTGATTTTTACTTTACAGGCATGAGAAGCAAATTCGGTACCCATCTCGGAAAGCAAGAGCCGACGTGAGGAAGCGGGTGAAGGGTCGTTTTGTGAGGAGTACTGCGGGATATGACTCCGACAGTGTTGATGTGGCAAGAAGCTACTAATTAAAAAAATTAATTTGATTACGTTTTTGGTGTTTTGTAGATATGCCAATGTTAGTCCAAAGTAAATGATCAATCAATCTTTTGGCAGTCTCGTGTTAATTTATTATAACTACTCATAATTTGACCAATTCTTGCTTCTTCTGTCTTTTCAATGCATCATAGTATTGCAGAGTATTTTGGTTTGGTGTTACTGAGTGTTGTCTTTTATGCAGCTTGCAAAAAAGAGGAAAAAAAATTAATAATAAAATTATCTAACTTCAATTTTTAAATTTTCCCTACGAGATTGTAGTTAGTAGTCATGAACTTATTCATGTGTCATTTGTACATCTTATACCCCATGCTAGTTGATGATTAGCTCCTTAACCGTCGGATTAGATTACGATCGATGTAATTCTCACTAATTCAACTATCACTAAAACTAGCTGCTATACACCGTTTCCTCCGTTTCTATTTCGCAAAATATTACTTGGTGTTTGGTAATTTTTTTAAGCTACAGTAGACCAGCTTATATGATTGATTTTGAAGGGAGACCAGATATAGGCCTTGCCGTTCAATCCAGAGACTATGATGTTAAAGTATCAAATTAGTCTTAGACACGCATGATTAATTGATAAACATGTAAATGTGGGCAAAATCTACGTGGAATAAAGACAAAGCAACATGGCCAAACTGTAATGACAAAGAAAGAGAAACTTAAAACATTGTTGCTCAACGAGCTAGGCTTAATGTTGAAAATTATGTGTTGCTGAACTTAACAACCATGGAATGAGGGAAAAAAAAAAGTGTCTGAAATTGGGAGAAAGTGTGGGATTGTGGGGTTACACAAACACATTATTTCACCAAACATCAGATATTAGACATTGATGGGGGAGCTATTAGACAAATAAATAGCTAGGTAGTTATAGTTGTCGTAGAGAAGCAAACTCTAAATCCACAAAAAAAAAAAAAAAAAAAAAAAGAGAAGAAAAGAATGATGGCTTAGTGGTAAAGTCTTAATCCGGTTAACATGATCAAATTAAAAAAAAAAACAAAAAAAAACAAAAAAACAAAACTCCCCAAATGGCCAGGACCACGCCATCCTCTCAATAAGCTTGGAAAACAAGCAACAATGTAATTGAGTGCCTCTCTAACCGCAACGGGGCCTTTGTAAGTCTTACTCGTGTCGTCTTCTCTATCGTTTTCTTCTGTCATTGTTTTTTTTTTTTCGTGGATAAAATAATGTCGAACTATTTAGAGAACAAAATTGCATATACCAAGTATGTACTGTCTGCACGATTTTTGCTGAATGCTTGCATGTACTTGGTGATGGAAAAGGATTAATTATGTCCGGCCCGTTTAGTTCACTAATTTAATTTTTTAATTTGAGTTAAAATGTGATGTTGTGTAAAAACTTTTTACTGTAGTAAAAAAGTTAGATGTGACTGTTTTTAAGAGCTTTTTACTGTAATAAAACTCGAATCAACAAAAAGAACGAGGCCTACATCTTACATAAATTAAATATATATATATGGGTTATATATATATATATATATGGGTTATATATATATATATATATATATTTCTGTCATCACATAGAACTTCAATGATTACATTTCCGATGGTTTTTCATCAAATATAATAATTTACGGTGTGTGTGGTAAATAGAAAATGGGAAAGAAAGAAATTAGAGAAAAGGTTTTAGAGAAGAAAATGGAATATTTGGTTGTTTGGTAGAGAGAAAATGAAGAAGGAAGGATCCCGAGGGTCTCCCGGGTATCTTCTGGGGGTGCTCTGGGGGTGTCTCGGTGAAAATCTATGGAGTTTATAAATTTTTAATCCTTCCAACTTTTTGAAAAAAAGATGAGAGAAAATTTTTAACAAATAAATGATATGTAAAATAACTATTTTAACCTTAATGGTTCATCATATTTTTATTTATATAGGGATATTATTGTAAAATGTATTAGATTTGACATTTTTTTTTAAATGTATTAGATTTGACAATTTCTTTTTACTTTTCTTCTTTTCTACTAAATAACATGAGAGAAAATCCCCTTTTTATTATTTTACTTCATTTATCTATGTATTTTACTTCTCATTCCTTTCTCTATTTTATCCATCCTACCAAACATAACATTAATAATGTAACGTGATAAAAATTTAATCGTATTAATTGTTACAATTTTTTTTTTGGTCAAATATTCAATTTGTTAAAACCATTTAATCAATATCATACATTTATAACAGACATATCACCCTATTTGTGAGCTGAATGGACTGCAACTATAAAGTGAAGATTGGAGTTTGTCGTGGGAAAATTATTGCTTCACAAGCGGTCAAGTTTGAGTCAATAGTTCTGCAAGCTTTGGAATATGAAGCTGCATATTAATGTAGTGTCTTTTGGAATTTTGCTGATTTGCCCGACTAACAATATACCAATATGAAGCTACATAAAATGCTCATTTACAAGGACGGCATTTTCTTTGGCCACATCGTTGGTCAATTTTTAGGCGTTGGATGATTATTAAATCAATCTAAAAACAGAGGTATTTATATTTTTATTATAATTGATAATATTATACAATTGCTTGAAAAGATTAATTACTAAGTTTAGAGAAGACACATATATTTATTTGATTATAATAGTTAATTATGATGATAGTACTAATAAATGTAATAAGATAGACACTATCATTAATATAATAGTTACCCTAAAATATAGGGCCTGTTCGGTTGCCTGTTTTTACTCGAGTGTGGGTGGCTGGCCCAAGTTTAAGTTCGGCTTCGTTATACTCGAGACTAAACTCAAGTCAGCACTCGAGTTTTTCCCTCATTCCCGAGTTAATGTCCTCCCACCTACTCGAGTTAAGTCCTCTGAACTGCTACAGTGACGATTCCTGACCTCCTGAGAGATTCCTCCACCTTTGCCGTGTCTGTTGCTTGTTTTCTTCCTTCGAGCCCTTCATTCACGTGCTTCTCCTCTGATCAAGTTTGGCAGTGTTGTATGGGAAAATATGCTTTGACACGTCAGACAACGGAAGCGTGGGGAATGCAGATCGTGTATAACAAAAATTTTCATAAAACTTTTAAGATATTCTATAGATTATATTGATTTATGCACGAATAAATTAATCGCATTAATTTACATTAAGAATTCAATCCGGAAAAATACTTGGAAGCTGACTCGGATGATAACTTGAATTCTTTGACCACGAATAGTCCTTGCTCCAATCTTTGCGTTTAGAATACTAAAGTCTTCCACGTCAATTCCTTGATTCCACGTAGACGTGTGTGTGGGCACACGTGAGACAAAAATAGGTTTCTTAAACACTCGAATTTTCACAAACACCAACGCATGCACGATGTGGAATTTTTGGAGAAAAATATTTTCTCTTTCTTTTCTCTCTATGAATTTCGGCCACCAACTATCAGGGCTGAAAAATTGCTTCAAAAATTGTTTTCACAATTTTCTATCATTCTCATATTTAAAGAGTAGAAGTCAAACTTCAAAACAGGATCAAATCCCTATCTCCAATTTTTGAATTTCGAACAGAAAAATCCCTTCCCCTTATCCTCTAAATGGCCGGCCACCCTCTAGGGTTTTATCCCTGTGTGTGGTACCTATATCAGATAGGGAAGGAAGAGATTTTATCCTTTATCCAGTAGTTCAATTTTAATTCAATTCAAATTCGAATTTAAGTCAAACTTATATTAATTTGAATTCTAAATTGAACAACTTATCAAATAAGTTTAAATGGATAAATCTAGATGTGTTCAAATTCAAATTTAAATAATCACATTATTTAAATAATAATTAATTCTCAATTAATTATTTTTTGAGTATTTAATTTTAGAATTCCGTAATTCTAAAATTCCTATTTTGCCCT